ATGCACGGGTACGGCGCCGAGATGTGCGCCGCGGCCGAGCTCCTGGGGTCGCAGCCTCCGTCGCAGTCGCACCCGCAGCCGCAACCGCACCCCCCACCGCACCCACACGGGGACTCGAAGTACGACCCCGGTCCCTTCGACGACTCGGTGCACAGTGACTCGTATGTGTCGTATCTCGAGTCCGACGACTCTATGACGGCGCCGCTGAGCACGACGACCAGCCCCTGATGGTCGGGCCCGAGGGTAGTCGTCACAGCGTAGATGAGTCGATGTTTTAGTCGTCTTGAGTCGTACATCACGGCCGGCCGAGTACCGAAGTCTCAGTACCTCAGTTTCATTCTTCTCCCGTTTACCTTTGCCATCTCTCTCTGTCTCTCCTTCTCTCTTCTTCACCCCACCAATCCTAGTCGTTTTAAGGCCGTTGGCCGACTTCGAAGTCGGTGCCAGCCGGGTCGTGGTGTCTGGCGGCGCTGGCGGAGGTCATCCCGACTGACCGACATGATCTTACCCGAAGGCAAACACACAACACATTATCAGCATAAGTGGTGACCTGACATGACCTCCTGGCGAGACCTAGTCTGATCGGGCGAGATTGGCCGAGTTTTAGCGAGACTCGGCGAGACCGAGCGAGATTTGGCGAGACGTCGTTCCCAAGACGGACCCCCTGGACCTGCCTCAGAGGCCGCGCCTGACCTCTGGAAGGGGGCGCTGACGGCAAAAAATCATGAACAGCGTGATGGCGAAAGAAAAGGAGAAAACATGTCATTTCCTCGCACAAAATAGGACTAGACGCGGAAAAAGACCCTGGTCTCTGAAAAATAAGTCTGGTCTTTTGGGGAAACGTGGAAGTGGAAGTTCGTGAATAAAAAGGTCTAGACCGGATGTGAGAAAAAAGAAGAAAAGAGAAAAAAAATCCTTTGTGGTTTCGAAAGGTTTGTTTAGATCCAAAACAGGAAAGATACTAAAGAAAAGAAATCTGAGAATAGGTCTGAAAATGGTCTGAATAATTTGAAAAGATTCATAAGAAAAGTTAACATTACGATATATGTGTTCAGCTCACTGGCGACTAAACAAAGCGAAATATAGTGTGCTTTAGTGTTCTGGATACATTTCACTGTCGTCTTATGAACGAAAAAAACAGTGATTTCGAATGAGAAAAGAAAAAAAAATAACATGAATGTCTTACAACTTCTTTTGTCTTATATTTCCTGTAGAAAAGATGACATATATGTTTGGGAGATTTTTATATCGATTCATTCGGGGAAAAAAATAAATAAAACTATATATATGTAGTAGCTAATCATATTTATTTCATGCGTTAAGTATTATTTTTTATTTCAAATATGTTTCTAACTTGGTGTAGGAATGTTTCACACGAGTATTCTCTTTTGTTCATGTTAATTATTGTACAATTCATAATGTGTGTATATGGATGCCACTTTATATAAGGCCACATTTTTTTTTTGTTTTTGTTTTTGTTTTTTCAATCATTTTCAATTGCTGTTTATCTTACTTAGGAGTATAACCCGACGTTTGGTAACCAACTGTCAACAGATTGTTTCATACGCAAGCTTTAACTGTAGCCTGTTGTTATTTTTAAAATGAGTTTCCCCCTTTCAAAGGGTTATTTACTATTAAACATGTTTTATATGCCATTTTTTTTTCTTTTTCTATGGAAGAAAATGAATGTTCCTCAGTTACATATTCACCTCCCCATATCTATCCCATTCCCTCTACCAAGATATTTGTTTGTTTGTTTTCATCTAGTGGTATTGCAATATACATATTCATTTCGACAAACAAACAAACAAAAAAAATGCTTTAGAATCTACGGGAAAGTCATCACAGCTAGCCAAGGCAGTGATTCTTTCCTTCCTCTTCCTCTCTCCCCCTAACCCCCTTACCCCCCTCTTCCCCCCTACCCATCCCCCCAAAAAAAGAAAGAAAAAAAAAAAACATCTGGCAACTAGTGTATATGTGTGCAAGTGGTGGTCTATCAAGTAAAATGTTCTCTCTCTGTTGATCATATTTTCATTTCTCCTTTCGAGAATTTTTGAATTTGGTGATTTTGCTGAATAAATAACATACTGGATGCCACAATAAAGCTGTGCGCTTGCATTTCAAAACACACACGCACATAAAAACGCACATACACGCACATACATTACATATACATTACATATACATTACATATATACCTGCACTAATGATTTCATAAAGGTGCTGAAATTGATGAAAAATATCAGTTCAGTTAAAAAAAAGATCCTGTTTAACACATGAATAATTCAGTAAAAAAAAAAGAAGACAAAGAAAAAAAAAGACTAATAATAAAATATAGAATTTAGAAAAAAAAACGAACAAGGAAATAATCACATATTTATTCTAAATAAACGACATACACAACGAAAATGACAAACGAAAATAAAAATAAAATGAAAATGGAGGAGAGAAAACGAAGTATTGTGGTTCACTAATGTTCCTGCAGCAGATTGGGGATAAA